TGCGTATTGCCTCGATATAGCCTAAATTCACAAGCATGGTAAGCGAAGATGGACTCAGTGGCCGAGTGGATAACGCGATGGCGTTTGAAGCAAAAGGTACTGGGTTCGAGTCCTAGAGTGAACATCAACTCTGAGATGCAGGTATGTCCAACTGACGAGTCCCAAATAGGACGAAACGGGCGTCAAACTGGATTCCACTATTCATCTTTGTTGATTAATATAATAGTTATTCATTAATTATATTTTTTGGATATCCTATGGAAAAGTAATGGTGTTGAACGTTACAATACTACTCATATATATTTATGGATAATTAAAAAGGCAGATAGATATAAGTGATTTCAATTAGTTCAGTCATTTGATATTAAACTTATCAGTTGACACAATCATGTGAATAACTTCAAAGTGACAGCTTAAGGTCAACGCAGTGATCATAACAATACAATGACACTACTGTAAAGGAGTAACAGTGGCGCACATTGTATTCACTCGATGTTATTATATTTAGATTTTGAGTTTTAAAATGATTTTATACTTTTATGCTACAAATTCATTTTGTCTTCTTGAATTATCAAAGGAAAATTGATTATGAATAAAAGGGGTCTTGATTGCTGTTAGAAGTAATGTGGGCAGTTTTCACTTACAGGTTGCTCATCTTGTAGAAAGGTTCTTCTAGATATACCTGAAAAGTGCATTGGGTTAGAGGTGGTCTTAGTGACCTAAGAGCTTGACCGCAGTGTCCAAGGGACAACTGCTTGAGGTCAGTCACACACGACCTTTTTGTGTGAGCTCCGTACTTGTTGGGACTTTACCGTTAGAGACGGATATCTGTGGAATAAGGTGAGGTGTGCATTTTTGGGTCGGGCTTTTTCTAAGCTCACCCTATCCTTTGTGGGAAAACAGAATCGCTGTTATGCTGGCTGTCTGAAGAAAACATCTTACTACCGTCACACCTCTGTACAGTCAGCAGTACGGCTTCTCTCTCATACCTTGAGTTTTCTGCTTTTACTCTTATTGTTCTTCAACCGATCTATCTGACATGGTAGGACTTTAAGGAACAACTTTTCCCACCAGTATGGACCTAGTAGTTCATCACGGATAGGCAAGCCTGACCACTACATCAAGTTCGCAGTAACGGTCAGGTTCTTGAATTAAATTGTCTATGGTCATACTTTCCAACTATCTCTAATATTATTACTACTTCTACCAATTTGGAATTCATTAGGATTCGCTGATATTCTGTGACAACCTGAATTGATACGTCTACGTGACAGATTCTGCATTGCATATGACTGACTGATTGACTATCAATTGGGGCATTTTGAATAAATTCAACTGAAATGTTTAGTTGATGTAAGTCCCTAGAAAGATATAACCTATTCACAATGTTTCCCTATTCATTCAGTTTACCATTCCTAGTAATTTTAATCAATTTCTTTTCATCTAATAGGTAACTATTGCATACTAGAGTGTGATTTTCATTTTAAGCTTTAAACTTTATTATATTTGTGTTACACTGAATGTGTTCATGACAAGGAGATGTGAATAATTCCCATCTCTTAGTTTTACTGGGAGATGAGATCTTGAACTTTAAGTAAGAAATCTAATCATATTAATCGACAATATTGAATTGATCCACTGAAAACCTGGGAGCATTAGACGACCGTTCTATTTTAGTATAAGATTCGTCAAGAATGAGGACTACTAATCGACTTATGATCTCAATCAGAACTAAATAACTTCTATAACTTTATACTGATAAAATATAGTTAACTGAGATTCCTTTTGAATCCAGTTCAGTCATTACTTCATGAGGATACTTTGTTTAATAAGTACTAAGTCTATAAGTTTTAGATCATTACCAACCAGAAGCAGAAATTGAAGATTTTTAGCTTAAACTTACTGTGTACCAATCTCAATCTGTATTTAATACTAAGATAATAACTGATAATAGGCACATAGAATATAGTCTGGTGTTAGTTGAGATTGAGATATCACATTAAGATACCTTCATTATAATTCATCGTTTACAACTATGATCTTTAACAATTTACATCATAGATTTTACATTGATTACTATTAAATCATATAAGGGATATTCAGTCAGCTACAACGTAGGACCAGGCACATATATGCATCGGTCCAAGTTGTCATACCTCGTTAACACAACAAGAGGAACACCGGATTCCTAGGGATATTATTGAAATTTTACAGTTGAATGTATAATTGATACCATTACTCTATACTTATCAATTGTAGTTTTACTAAGTCATTTCATCTATCATAGATTAGGTATATATATATACACGAACTAATTCCTTTTTCCTCTACTATATCCTTAAACGCTGAATAGTAACTGGAAAGAACTGGAAAGGAAGGCTCAGGACAGAGTTGGATGGAGAATGCTGGTGAGCGGCCTATGCTCCTCGACGAGGGGTAACAGGCGTAAGTAAAGTAAGTAAGTAAGTAATATCCTTAAACACAATCCTTCTTTTATATATTCCTACACCATTAAATTAACTACTTCTATGAATCCGGTGTTCATCTTCTTGTGCTAACGAGGTATGGTAACTTGGATCGATGCATATATGTACCGAGTTCTACGTTGTAGCTAAATGTTTGAATGGCTTAGCTAACAATCTTTAATCAGTGATTAATATATATAGATACATTGGTAGTTTGATAATTAAATCTGAAAATCTGTTTCATATAGAAATTTAGATAAGTTCCATTTAGAATTATGTTATTTGAAGTTAACTATGATAATTACTGACCAGATCGAAATTACTCTGTATGATTAATGTAACTAAAGTTGAATGTATACAAACCTCTAGATTGCTGTTTAATGATATAAAACTATTTGGATGGTACTTGAATATTTTGCTTATTATCTCTAATTAGGATAGTTGTTACATACATTTTTTTGATAAGTTTCATATTATACATTGTCCAATTAAATTTTCATTTTAATAGTTGAAATCATGAGCCAATTGATACTAGACCACCATGGAGAATTTGGAAGCACTGGACGGTCGTTAAGTTCCAGCATGGGATTCGTCAGCAGTGAGCATCCACGACCTTGTCTCGCGAGATTCGAACTCATGACATACCAGTCTCGCGTCAGAGCACTTAATCACTAGACCACTAAGCTGGCATCTGACAGTGTTAATGTCTAACTTCAAGTAATCCACAAAATTGAGCAACCATTCACCAATATCTTCAGGGAGTTACTATCTCATAACAGATCCGGTTGAACTCTATTGGTCACTGCTTCTCACAAGAACTCCAGGAAATACCTCTTGAAATCAGTCACTAGTGAGCATATGTTAATTAATATCAGAAGGGGTTTTCGCACATATTATAGTAATTTTAGTAGTTGAGATCATAAGTTAATTGAAGCTAGACTACTATAGAAAACCTAGAAGTTTTCATTGTTTATTTTGATTGATTTCATTTGAGAAAGAAAATAATCTATAAACTATCCAAACATGTAAAATTTAACATGGTAAAGCTTAGTTTAATCTTTCTATTGATGTTTAAGACAACAACTGATCAGTGTCTTATTGGCATATATACATCCTGTAAGGATTGCCTCGATACTATCTTAATTTACAAGCATTCTAAGCAAATATGGATAGTGACTAACAGTAGAATCCAGTTTGACGCTCATTTCATCCTATTTAGGATTCGTCATTTGGATGTACTTGCATCACAGAATCGGTCTTCACTCTAGGATACATGAGTGAGGGTCTATCAGGACTCAGTAACTAAGTGAATATTACGATAGCGTTTGAAGCAAAAGGTACTGGGTTTGAGTCACAGAATGAAAATTAACTCCGAGATACAAGTACATCTAAATGATGAGTCTTAAATAGGATGAAACACCTATCAAATTGGATTCCACTGCCAACCACTATACATCTTTACTTATTATCCACACATTTTCATAAAATTATCAAAACTCATAATAATAAATAAAATCAATACAATTCCCTAGACAATAAAGGCGGTCTCCTGAACATCCAGACTACCTGTTCCTTCATACTATCTACATATTTTAATAAGTTATCTGATTCCCATAAGTTATTCAGCTAAGTTTCTTAAAAAGTTACAATCTTTTGTTGTACAAATTACAAAGTAACCTAATCAATAATATCATAGTTGTTGCCAGGTAATATATATTTCATTAGTATATATACATGATTATAGATATCGATTGATTGAATTGTTAACCTTTAATGATCATTTAATCAATCAATATTTATTATCAAGAAAACCTTAAAGCATTGGATGATTGTTTCGTCTTAATATGGGACTCCTTAGTAGTGTACATCCATGATACTGCACTCACAAGATTCGAACCCAGAACATATCAGTCTGAAGAGTTCTACAATAGGACGAAACGAAAGTCTAGTGCTTCCAGGTTTTCCACGATGGTCTAGCTTCAATTGAATCATGATCTCAACTATATAAAATTCTAATCTTTTGTTATACAAGTTACAAACGAGTCTAATCAGTGATATCATAGTTGTTGCCAGGTAATATATACTCAATTAGTATATAATCATGATTATAGATATCGATTGATTGAATTGTTAACCTTTAATGATCAATTAATCAATCAATATTTATTATCAATGATCAACATAAATACTGAGAATTCTATCTTGTCAGAAAAGGGGTTTTGTGGAGATTTTAGTAATTTTATATAATTGAGATCATGAATCAATTGAAGCTAGACTACTATGGAAAACCTAGAAGCACTGAACGATTGTTTCGTCCTATTGTGGGACTCCTCAGACTGATAGATCCTGGGTTCGAATCTCACAAGTTCGGGATCGTGGATGCACACTGCTGAGAGGTTCCATAATAGGACAAAACGACCATCCAATGCTTTCAAGTTTTCCATGTTGATTAAGCTTCAATTGACTCATGATCTCAACTATATAAAATGAATAAATTTAAGGGTGATAAGTAAATAAACAAACAAAAAAACTTACTTTTTGTTTGTTATTTTTACAATCACTTTGTTGTTTCAATCAAAATATAAACAAAACCATATACATTTTTGTATTTATATTTATATCAGATAGGATAACATTGATTGGTTCATTATGTAAGTCTAATTAGTATTACTTATAAACAAAAAAATAGAACAGTAAGACACACCTTTATTGAAGTATACAACATATCTATGTTTACAATATTGGTTACATGTAATAGATGAATGTCAATATGTATCTATCTATCTGTCTATCGATATATATATATATATATGAGAAGGTGTAACTTCACCTGTATCTCCTCCGGAGGCTACTGTCGGCCTCAAGCCTGGATAAATAAGGTGGGTTAGGTATGGGTTTAGCGATCCCATCCCGTAGAAAAACTAACTCGCTAAAAACGTACTAACTAGAAAAAAATAATTTAAACTAATTAAACTCTGTCCTAGGAATACTTATGACGTCTCATGATGAAAGTAGAGTTTGTTCGGAAGGCATGAGGCCTATGAACCTTATAATAACCAGAGAAACAATTTTTATAGGTATATGGAACGTCCAAACAAGATCTGAGGGACCTTTCAAATTGCTGAAAAAATGAGGAAATATAATCTGGAAGTGCTTGAGATCAGTGAAACACATTGGACACAGGTAGAACAACAACGACTAGCTTCAGGGTAGATTCTGTTATGATCAGGCCATGAAGAAGAAAGTGCCATACATACACAAGAAGTTGCATTGATGATGCCCAAACAAGCACAAAATGCACTTATAGGACTAAAATCTCATGGTCTAAGGATCATCAAAGCCTCCTTCAAAACAAAGAAAGAGGATATTACAATGAATGTCATCCAATGCTATGTGCCTACCAATGATTACAATGAAGACGTTAACGACCAATTCTACGAATGGCTGCAGTCAATCGTCGAGAAGTGCCCAACCAAAGACCTGACCATTGTGATGGGAGATTTAAATGTCAAGGTTCGAATGGACAATACTGGATACGAAGATGTCATGGGACGACATGGACTGGGAGAAAGGAATGAAAATGGTGAGGGATTTTCAAACTTATGTGCCTTCAACAAACTGGCCGTAGGCAGTACCATTTTCCCATACAAACACATACACAAAATCACATGGACTTCATCGGACCACACTACACAGAACCGAATTGACCATGTCTGCATCAGCAAAAAGTTCAAGAGGACAGTGAAGGATGTGAGAACCAAGAGAGGAGCTGATATAACATCAGACCACCATTTGCTGGTTGCCAAGATAAAATTAAAACTTAAGAAGCACTGAACAACGGGGCGGACAACATCACAAAAATTTAATACGGCTTTTCTTCAGGATACTGACAAACTCAACGAATCCAAGATAGCCTTCAACACTAAGTTACAGGTCTTTCACGATGTACTTAATGGAGAGGGAACTACTATGGAGAGCAACTGAAAAGGGATGAAAAACGCAATCACTTCAATATATCATGAGGTTCTGGACCACGAGAAGCGCCATCACAAGGAATGGATCACTGTTGCTACACTGAGTAAGATTCAAGAAAGGAGAAGCAAGAAGGCAGCAATCAGTACCAGCCGAACAAGAGCAGAAAAAGCCAAGGCACAAGCCGAATACACAGAAGTACACAAGCAAGTGAAGAGGGACATCAGAACCCGCACATGTAAATATGTGAAAGATTTAGCTATGAGGGAGGGAAAAGCTGCCAAATTGTTCATGGAGGACAACTCACTGACTCATTCGAGGTAAAGACTGGTTTGAGGCAAGTTTGCTTACTCTCACCATTTCTCCTTCTCTCGTTGATTGACCGGATCATGAAGACGTCAACATCTGCAAGGAAGCACGGGATACAGTGGGCAGCTAGGATCCAGCTGGAAGATTTGGACTTGGCAGATAATCTGGCTCTTCTACCACATACGCAAAAAAATGCGAGAGAAGACGACCAGTGTTGCAGCAGCCTCAGCAGCAGTAGGTCTCAACATACACAATGGGAAAAACAAGATATTCCGATACAACATAGCATGCACCTGTCGAATTACACTTGAAAGATAAGCTTTGGAGGATGGAAAAACCTTCACATATCTAGATAGTATTATTGATGAACACGGTGGATCTGATGCAGATGTAAGGGCGAGGATCAGTAAAGCAAGAGCGGCATATTTACAACTGAAGAACATCTGAAACTCAAAACAATTGTCTGTCAAACAACACCAACATCAGAATTTTCAATACAAATGTCAACACAGTTCTACTGTATGGGATGGAGACGTGGAGAACTACGAAAGACATCATCTAGAAGATACAGGTGTTCATTAATAGTTGTCTACGCGAGATACTTCGGATCCGTTGATCAGACACCATCAGCAACATTCTGCTGTAGGAGAAAACAAACCAGATTTAATCCAGTGGAGGAAGAAATCAGGAAGAAACGCTGGAAGTGGATAGGACACACATTGAGGAAAGCACCCGACTGCGTCACAAGGCAATCCCTTACATGGAATTCTGGAGGCCAAAGGAGAAGAAGACTTAGACCACAGAACACATTACGCCGAAAAATGGAGACAGATATGAGAAGAATGAACAAAAGTTGGGTAGAACTGGAAAGGAAGGCTCAGGACAGAGTGGGTTGGAGAATGCTAGTCGGCGGGCTATGCTCCATTGAGAGCAACAGGCGTAAGTAACTTGATTGATAGGATTCGATCTGCACTACACAATGATCAGTCAATTGTATATATCTCTATGTAGATTAATTTAATCAGTGACAAACAAAAATTGAATCATTCAGTTAATAAATATGACAATGATTAATTTATTCATACGATTTATACATGAATTTAAACAAAATATACATTAATCAATAAAAAAGATAATATAAGTATTTAGTTATAAGGAAATCTGGATAGTGATTAGCGGTGGAATCCACGACTCGTCATGTGGATGCACCATCATCTACGAGTTGATGTTCATTCTTGGACTCCAACTCAATACCGTTCACATCAAACGCTATTGCTTTATCTATTTAGCTACTGAGTCCTGATAGCCACTGGCTTGTGAAATGGGCTGAAGTTTAAATTCATTTGATATTATTTGTTTGAATCTTCCCATTGATACTTAGGATTACAGGTACATTCAGCTGACGAGTCCCAAATAGGATGAAACGCGAGTCAAATTAGATTCCACTGCTAGCCACTATCCATTTTTGCTTATTATGCTTGTGAATTAAGACAAGATATCGAGGCAATGTGCACATTATGCACATATCAGTCAGTTAGTCAGCTACAATGTAGGACCAGGCACATATATGCATCGGTCCAAGTTGCCATACCTCATATTAGCACATTAAGATGAACACCAGACTCATAGTAGTTAATTTAATGGTGGTAGTATATAAAAGATAGGTTGTATATAAGGATATAGTACAAAAAGAAAGACAGATATGATGCAATTTTAATCTCAAGGTCTAAAGGAAAATAAAGAGTGTGTACACCTACGCCATTGTGATCAATTCTGAGCCATGTCATCTAGAGTCTCCAACAATTGGTTACGATACTCGCGGGAACCCTAACCAGGTAGTCTGCATTTACCAACATGGCTCAGACTAGAAGTTAGTGACTTCAAACACTTATGCCACATTTCGATTTGGCCGCCCCTAACTCTCTTCTAACCATCCCTAATACTAGTCAGCATAACGCACACATGGCCAATAAGAGACTGATCAACTGCAATCCTAAACGTCAATAAGAAGATCCAACCATACAATACCTAGTGAATAGGTATTTAATATTGATTAAATATAAGAAGAAAGTAACTAATCATATACATAGATATATGAATAAATCAATAAACCAATAGATCAATAAGAGTGTAGTATAAGTAAAAACGAAATAAATGTGTATTTTACCAATGAAAACATGTTACATTTACAACTCATTTATGTACTACAAAGATTATACATTTTCAGAGAAGGGGGGTTTGTATAGAGATTATAGTAATCTAATAATAGTTGAATCTGTTAATCGATTAAAACAAGATCACTATAGAAAACTTAGAAGTATTGAATGACTGTTTCGTCTTAGTATGAGACATTTTCAACAGTGCTAATCTATGATCTCACCTCAAAGGACTCGAACCTAGGATCTTTGATCTCGCGTGCGAATGGTTAACCACTAGACTATTGAGATGAGATCCAATGGTGTTAATGTCTAACTTCAACTAATCCACAAATAAGCACCACCGTCCACCATTGTCTTCAATTAGTCACGGTCACCCAGTTCCTTCAGGTTTCCCATGGTGGTTCAACTTTTACCAACCCATGAATTCAACTAATAATTTATTGCAATCTCCACAAAACTCTTTTTCTGATAATAATCATATTGTGCTTATTAGTAACTGGCTTCGAGAAATATTTCCTGAAGTTCTAACGAGAAGCCGCGACCAGCAGAGTTCAACTGTGTCTGTCGTAAAATTAGGCGTTGGCAAGCGAGACCAAACGTTCTGGTTTCGAGTCCCACGTACAGGATCGTAGATGCACACTACTGAATTCCCATGTTAAGACGAAACAAACGTTCAGTGCTTTCGGGTTTTCCATAGTTGTCTAGTTTTACCTGAATCATAAATTCAAATATTTACAAATTGAATAAACAATATTTGTACTAATGATATTTCAACTGAATATATACTTCATATCTTCGAATGGGAAACTTTGTTTTCGTGAGGTTGAACTGGAACATTGGTGATCTTCTTGATAGGTTCCTTCAAACGACTTGATATTCATTTTTAAAAGAATATGTAGATCTTAATTCAGTCAGTCACAACGTAGAACTTCGTACGTACGTAGATCAGTTCGAGTTGACATACCACATTGGCACAGAGATGCAGTTGTCGATTCAAATCCCATAGTGGCAGAAGTAGTAGATCTTAAAAACTGAACCATTCAGAGTTGAATGATAGTTCCATACTAAATAATCTAACATACACAATATCTCAAGTTTATTGATGATTCAAATCAAATTATGATGAATATATGACTTTAACTTATAACTATACATTGACTACTAGTATAAACATGAAACCTGACTCATGTTCTTGAAATTCAAAAATAATAGATCAGAGGGGGGTTTGTGGAGATTTCAGTATTTCCATTGTTGAAATCATGAGTCAGTTGAATCTAGACAATCATGGAAAACCTGAAAGCACTGGACCGCCGTTTCGTCCTATTATGGGACTCCTCAACACCGTTGGATGCCCGCTCAGTGGTCTGTCGATTAAGTGTTCTGGCGCGAGAGTGAAAGGTCCTGGGTTCGAATCTCGCTCTCCAGGCGGGATCGTGGATGCGCACTGCTGAGGAGTCCCATAATAGAACGAAACGGCCATTCAGTGCTTTCGTGTTTTCCATGGTGGTCTAGATTCAACTAACTCATGATTTCAACTATGAAAATTCAAAAATAATATAATTTAATTGTAGTCATTCATAGACATTTTCTTTAGAAGTTAACAAGAGACTGATCAATTGTAGTCCTAAATAACAATGGGAAAATAAAGTATACAACTTTAGGCGAATATGACTTCATCTCATTGTGGCTATCGGAACTCAGTAGCTAAGTGGACAACGCAATGGCATTTGAAGCAAAAGGTACTGGGTTCGAATCCTAGAGTGAACATTAACTCTGAGGTGCAGGTGCATCCAGCTGACGAGTTCCAAATAGGCCGAAATACGCATCTAACTGGATTCCACTGCTGACCACTATTCATCTTTGTTTATATTGCTTGTGAATTAAGGCTGTAACGAGGCAATACGCACAGGAAGCACATATATCAATAATAGACTGATGAATTAAAGTCCTAAATAACAATAGTAGTTTTAGCATTCAAACCGATATGAATTCATGATAAAAACCCTAAATCTTAACCTTAACTGTCAACTGTATATAACAACCCTAATTACTCACACTAGTTTGTAGTCCTAATTTAGCTGTAGTATGTAGATGGACATTCTCAAAGTCAATCTAACGTCACTCAAAGGTTATACATATATACTATAATCTCACAGACTTTCCTAAATGAATACTGATAATAAGTAACATAACGATCGTGGATGCGCACTGCTAAGGAGTACCACAGTGGGACGAAACGGCAGTCCAGTGCTTCCAGGTTTTCCTTGGTGGTCTAGCTTCAATTGACTCATGATTTCAACCATACAAAATTACTAAAATCTCCACAAAACACCTTCTGACAATAATTATACGCTCACTAGTGACTGGCTCCATGAGGTATTTCCTGGAGTTCTAGTAAGAAGCAGTAACCAGAGGAGTTCAACCAGATCTGTTGGGAGATATTAACTTACTGAATACATTGATGAGTGGTTGCTCCATTTCGTGGATTGATTGAAGTTAGACATTAACACCATTGGATGTCGGCTCATTGGTTTAGTGGTTAAGCGCTCGCGCGTGAGACTGATAGGTTCATGGTTCGAATCTCGAGAGTGCGGGATCGTGGATGCTCACTTCTGAGGAGTCCCACACTGGGATGAAACGGCTGTTTAGTGCTTACAGGTTCTTCATGGTGATTTAGCTTCAATCGATTCATGATTTCAACTATATAAGATTATACAATGTATTCATCAGATTGCTTTCAAACTATTCCATATGATCTACATTACATAATAATATCATGTTTCAATCTTTACACGGAGAAAAAGAAATCATAAACACTATTAATATTGATTTCATAATTACTTCTTCAAGGTACTTCATTCATTACACAACAGATCAATATTAGTTAGTGTATAGTTAACTCTCATAGGTAAACCATAAAGGTTCAAGTATTCAAATTCTATTTCTGTCTCAATGAACTACAATGAACTAGAATAGTTAATTAGTCATAAAGGTAAGAATTAAAAAATTCTTGTTTATATTATGTCAGTGATTCAAGGAAATAAACAGATTGATAGAGGTGAACTAATCATTATTTACTTACTTACTTACTTACTCCTGTTACTCCTAACGGAGCATAGGCCGCCAACCAGCATTCTCCAACCCACTCTGTCCTGAGCCTTCCTTTCCAGTTCTACCCAACTTTTGTTCATTCTTCTCATATATGTCTCCATTTTTCGGCGTAATGTGTTCTGTGATCTAAGTCTTCTTCTCCTTTGGCCTCCAGAATTCCATGTAAGGGATTGCCTTGTGACGCAGTCGGGTGCTTTCCTCAATGTGTGTCCTATCCACTTCCAGCGCTTCTTCCTGATTTCTTCCTCCACTGGTTTAAATCTGGTTTGTTCTCTCCTACAGCAGAATGTTGCTGATGGTGTCTGATCAACGGATCCGATGTATCTCGCGTAGACAACTATTAATAAACACCTGTATCTTCTAGATGATGTCTTTCGTAGTTCTCCACGTCTCCATCCCATACAGTAGAACTGTGTTGACATTTGTATTGAAAATTCTGATGTTGGTGTTGTTTGACAGACAATTGTTTTGAGTTTCAGATGTTCTTCAGTTGTAAATATGCCGCTCTTGCTTTACCGATCCTCGCCCTAACATCTGCATCAGATTCACCATGTTCATCAAACTCCACCTGTAGCTCCTGCGGGGGCTACTGTCGGTCCCAAGCCCAGGGAAAGAAGGAGTTTTGGGCTTGGGGTTAGCGACCCCACCTAGTAGAAAACCAACTCGCTAAAAAAGCGCTAACCAGTAATAATCATTCAAACCGAACTAATCATTATGCTCTATAAATTACGAAATTCATCTATCAAAGCATATTCAACAAAATACTTTTTAATATCAGTAGAACTTCTTAGATTATATTGTGATTCATGCTACCGATTTCGATAGTTTTAAGTAGTATGTATCATCAATCGAATGTGAAATGTCTGGTGGCAGAAAGTTGAGAAGATCGAAGGAAAAAGAACGAGAACAGAGAATGATTGGTGTAGAAATGAAAGAACAATGAAGCCTGAGACGATTGACTGATAGTTTGCAAATTAAATTATTTACCTGATGAATTCACTTAGTATTGTTTGTTTAAATCTTCCCATGTTTAGGACTGCAACTGGCATATGCGCATACTGTGCGTATTGCCTCGATATAACCTTAATTCACGAGCATTGTAAGCAAAGGTGGATAGTGAATAGCAGTGGAATTCAGTTCGATGCGCATTTCGGCCTATTTGGGACTCGTCAGATGGATGTATCTGCATCTCAGAGTTAATTTTCACTCTGGGACTCGAACTCAGTACATTTCGCCTCAAACACTATCAAGACTCAATAGGTAAGTGGATAACGCGATGGCGTTTTAAGTGATATGCATCTTTATTTACTGTATGGTTATCAGATTTTACTAAGAGATTCTTCAATTTTGTATTCAAATACAGTCGGTTGTCCCCAATTGTGTTCTCATTCAATACATTATTATGAAAAATGAATAAAGCCTAAATTCGCTAAATCGAATAATCAATGAGTTGAAGAATTATTTCAAATATGTAAATATTATTTACGTGTTAAAGACTTTAATACTTGAATGTAGTTTTAATTAGTAATCAGTTTTTAGACAGAATTATACATTTCTTATCTGACTTACTTAATCTTCTTAACCCTAATACAGAAACATAGACCGCCCATCAACATTCGTCATCCAACACTGTTGTAAGCAATCCTTACCACCAGTTTCCACTTGCTGTCCATCCTTTTCATATCTGCTTCTGATTCCCACCACCATGGAAAACCTGGAAGCACTGGACGGCCGTTTCGTCCCACTGTGTGACTCCTCAGTAGTGTGCATCAACGATCAGTCACGCACATGATCGATTAACCATTAGACCATTGAGTCGGCATTCAACGGTGTTAATGTGTAACTTCAACCAATTCACGAAATTGAGAAACCGTCTAAGATTGTCCTCAGTGAGTTACTACTTCCCACTAGAACTCCAGGCAATACCTCTTGGAGCCAGTCTAGCTTCAATTGATTCATGATTTCAACTATACAAAATTACTAAAATCTTCACAAACCCCCTTTCTGAGAATTGATATACCCATCTGTTGACACATGAGACAGTAATGAGCTCTACTGATATAATTCCAATTGTGAAATAATATAATATACCTTTGTAATTGTAAAATTAAGAGACAAATTAAAGAGGAATGTGATTGATCAGTTTCTTCACTACTATCAAACTCAATATTGTAGACTTTTAATAATGTAATGAATGTAAACTCAATAACTAATTAATTCGTAATTGTGTTAGGTCATTTATATTGTTTATGATTGATTGTAAATTGTTTTGAATTTGTAAGCAAAGATGGATAGTGGTAAGCAGTGGAATCCAGTACAGCGCGCGTTTCGTCCTATTTGGGACTCATCAGTTGGATGAATCTGCATATCACAGTTGATGTTCACTGTGGGACTCGAACCAAGTATCTTTCGCTTCAACCCTATTGCACAAGCAATTGGCTCTCAGGACTCAGTAGCTGAGTGGATAATGCGATGGTGTTTGAGGCGAAAGCTACTGAGGTACATCCAGTTGACGAGTTCCAAATAGAAGTATTCTTTTAACTAATATAGATTGATCCTTTAAAAATGAATAACATTCTTCCATTAAAGTTATTAATAACCTCACAGATTCATACCATTCTGTATTGTTACTATCTTGAATGACATTACGTAATACCAATAGGTATCTATGGTGATATTTTATATTTTAATGTTTATTAATGACGATATATTTAGTTTTTTATTCAATAAAGATTCATAGTAACCCTCACGTAATCATCCATTTATTAACATTGATAGGAATATTATATATGTCAATTACATATGTCTTTCAAGACTATTATTAGCAGACTGGAGGTTTTTGTGGAGATGGCAATGAATTAACAGTTGAATTCATTAGACTATTAAAGCTAGACTACTATGGAAAACTTGGAAGTACCGTGCGGCCGTTTCGTCGTAGTATGAGGCTCTTCAGCAGTGCGCATCCACGATCAGTCACGAATGCGAGCGCTTAACCTCCAGACCACTGAGCTGGCATCCAACGGTGTTAATGTCTAACTTCAACTAATCCACAAAATTGAGTAACCATCCACCATTACCTTAAGTCAGTTTCTATCTCACAATCGACCTGGTTGTACTCCTCTGGTCACTACTTCTCACTAGAACTCTGAGATCCCGCTCGCCTTCGCATGCAAGACCGATATATCCTGGGTTCGAGTCTGACGTGCAGGATCATTGATATTCATCGCTGAAGAGTCCCATACTAGTAAGAAACAGCTGTTCAGTTCTTTGAGGTTTTCCATAATGATTTAGCTTTAATTGACTAATGAATTCAACTAACAAATACTATTATTCAGTTATTTATTGTATATTGGAGAAATTTATTACATTTTTGTCTATATGACTGATTTTACTTGAAAGAATGAGTCAGTTAAAGCTGAACCACCAAGGAAAACCTGGAAGCACGGGACGGTCGTTTCGTCCTATTGTGGGAATCCTCAGCAGTACGCGTCCACGATCTCGCCTCGCGAGACTCGAATCCAGGACCTACCAGTCTCGCGCTAGAGCACTTAACCGATAGACCATTCAGCCGGTATCCGATGGTGTTAATGTCTAACTTCAATCAATCCACGAAATTCGAGCAACCGTTTACCAATTATCTTCAGTGTGTTCCTATCTCACAACAGACATGGTTTGAACCCCTTCTCATTGTACTTGATTTAAAGTCAACAAATTCGAATGATTATGCTCCAGAATATATAACTGACTTGAATGATAAAATGTTTATATGTAGAATAAATAACAAAGCAAAATAGAAATGAATGTAGAACATGAGTTCATTTTAGTTCATTTATCAATCAACTAAAGTAGTCCAGCTGATTAAAGTGTTAAGTATAAAACATTTTTTAATATTGATCCATAGTCTTATCATATATTACTACAATCATATTAGATCTCTGTTAAGTGTTGTAACGTGCGGTATACTACACACTAACCCCTTAACTAACTATTTGAACACGAACACAATAGTAAGCAAGAAAGTGCAATAGACTACCGAATGAAATGCATGAATTTTCACTTTATCCTTGAGAAATTCACCTATTGAATCTAATGAAGTGCACTTAACCTTTAGGTCACTTCTAACTATCGATTAAACCTTTTTCCACCTCTGAGTAACTCACCCTATCATTAGGATTAAGATAACTTATATTATGTGTTATATAGATAGATTACGTTGAAGAAGTACAGTACACAAATTTCGATTAGACTATCATTTTTGAATGAACTAATCAGATTTAAGATAATAGATCTTGGATTTTGGCGCGAACTTCGCTCACCCATTAGGCTAAACAGCATCTTGGCATTTAAGCTGATCTCAGTTCATGATGAAAAACCGTAAATCTTATACTTAACCCTAACCATCATTTAACTCTAGCAAGTAGGTGGACAATTTCAAGGTCACCTTAGCGTCACTCATACGTCAAACTTTATAAAAAAAAATTCTATGATGCTCAAAAAGACTCAAGTAATCCTTTATTTTAGTTAGATAACTTATGCCTAGAAACATTTTAAATCTTATAAGTACAGATTGTGGTTAGCAGTGGAATCCAGGACGCGCATTTCACCCTATTTGAGACTCGTCAGATGGATGTACCTGCATCTCGCAGTTAATGTTCACTCTGTAACTCGAACCCAGTATCTTTCTCTTCAAACGCCATCGCCTTATCCACTCAGTTACTGATAGTCCTAATAATCACTTGCTTGTGTAATGTGGTGAAGTTTGAATTCATTTAGTATTGTTTGTTTGAATCTTCCTATTGATTTTTAGGACTACAACTGATCAGTCTCTTATTAGCTGACGAGTCCTAAATAGGACGAAACGCTCGTCAGACTGGATTCCACTGCTAGGCACTATCCATCTTTTGCTTATAAATCATAAGGATCAATCTATTTATAAGATATATTTTAATATTCAATGTGTTTTTTTTTGTTGTTATTCAATTAATAAACTATTAACTCATTTATATATAGAACATGTTTACTGAAAGTACATGGGTATTCATTTACGTGACATAGTTTACCTTCAAATCGTATAACTAAAACAAAAATTATGTTTGTTTTAAACAAAAAAAACAACAGAAGTTTATTGATTTCTGCTTAGTATTTTTCTTCTTTATATAATAAGTGGGATATGTCGCTTAATTTCACGTATTAGTTGGAGTTAAATATTAACACCGTTGATTGGCGGCCAGCTTATGGGGTCTAAAGGTTAGGCGTTCGAGTGCGAGATCGATAGGCGATAGGTTCGAATCTTGTGGGGCGGGATCGTGGAGGCGTACTGATGAGGAGCCTAATACTGGGACGAAACGATCGTCCAGTGCTTTCAGGTTTTCCATGTTGGTCTAGTTTCAATTGACTCATGATCTCAACTATTAAAGTAAATATAATAAGCATTATGATTACAAATGATTAATAAAATATTTTATTGTTCTATTATATCTAAAGCTTAGATTCTTAATTTATACCGCGTAATACTTAAATAATAGAACCCTTCAAGCCGCAAGCTATTTTACTCAGCATTTTCATGATGTCATACAATTGCAACCAATGTTAATCTATACTTTGCGGTGGGATGATTTTTCGAGTAGTAGTTCAACAGGTCTCATGCCACAGTGACATTGATCAGACTGTTCTGACGAAGATGTAACGTGGGAAGTTGTCTGTGTGAGCTAACATCGTATGTACTGTGTTAATATGAGGTGGTATTAAGAAGTATTCATCAGGAAACTTTGGACCTATGTTTCGTGCTGTTTGTCACTGGTTAAGAAGACGTGAATGTAATCATGAAGGACCTAATGCTCCCTGATGGATTCAATCCCATATCACTCATCTTTATTCAGATGCGTTACCACTGATATATCTCGGCCGTGATTGGCCTCCTATAAGATATGAATAACTCAGTGGTAACGTCTCTGTGAGGCTGGGTGTCACGTAATCGAATTCGTCAGAGAGCATTACGTCCTTCATGATTACAGCTACGCCTTACTAACGTATGATAAATAGCCTGAAACCTAGATATAAGTTTTCCTGTCAACTACCTCCGAACACCACCTCATCTTCATATAATGCATGTGATATTTAGTCACCTAGACTAGTGACCTCATTGCAACTTGGTCGATAGAATTTGTTTTGTGCTATGAAAGACGTGACGCACATGACTTTGTTTACCACTCCGTGATCAACCAATTGTAAGTAATGGTATGTGATAATGATCCGTAAATAAATTATACAGCTTAGTCGGTATATTTTTGCTGGTAACTTCAAATACATTTTACGCCATATTACCTAATCCAAGTTTCGTAAGGGATCAAGTCATTTATCCGACTGTCAGATATTGTTCTTCATTGAAACATTGTTACTAAATACTTTGTATAACCACTTAATTTTTATCAACACCTAAAGATCTGATCCACAAGGCAGTGGAGCATCGTGAGGAGATGCAGTCTCATGGTAGCCGGTGACCAACGATTGATTCATAGGCCATTTGTTCCCTCAGGATACTGGAGCCAACCCATGTGTACCATTGGTATGGAATGAAGGTTTTCCAATTCCCCTAGGTGGACGCGCCGTGTCCACCAACCTAGTTAAAGCGCCGAACATTCGCTTTACGTACTTTCAATTTCGTAAACAACAAATTAGTAGAATACTTTGTTTATTCTGTAACTTATCATAAAATGTTCAATCAAACTGATTGAATAACTAGTAATAGATTCAATGTGTTCATGAAATTAGTTTTCAGAATTTTTGACACTTTTTCTATACTACTTAATCAGTAGCATAATTTCATGTCAAAAAGTAATCTGAAAAGAGCAGGCAGTATCGAGGCAGTCCACACACAGGATGTACATATACCAACAAGAGACTGATCAATTGCAGTCCTAAATAACAATCGGAAGATGTGATTAAACAACATCAACTGAATAAAATTGATTGGAGTTTTAATGAATTGATCTGTTCTTGATTGAGATCCTTAATATTAGGACAAAAAGGTGATCAAAGAAATTCATCAAGTAACGGATCATCCATGAAGTTTAATATGAATGTGTGAAAAAAACTATACTTCCAAAGCATTTTCAATATTGGGTTTGCGTTTTGTATTAGTCAACTACTCTATGAATTGACTAATATTCAATCAAAAGGTATTCATACTGATAAATCACACGTGAGATGATTCAATCACTCAATGTTTCGATATAGAAGTTTGTATTCACTTCTAAATATTCTGATTATATATCTTCATTAGGATCAGGATTTGAACCTACCCCTATTTATAACACAGTACAATTTCTAAGTAGCTATATACAATACCTTAAATAAATATCGGTCAGTCAGCTACAATGTAAGAGCAGGCACACATATGCATCGGCCCAAGTTGCCATACCTCGTTAGCACAGCAAGATGAATACCGGATTCATAGAAGCAGTTAATTTAGTGGTGATAATATATAAAAAATAGGTTGTATATAAGGATATAGTATACGAAGGAAGAAATTTATAACGCAATTTTAATCTCAAGGTTTAAGGGAAGATAAAGAGTGTATGCACCTACACCATTGTGATCGATTCTGAGCCATGTCACATAGAGTCTCCAACCATTGGTTACGATAGTCACACGGACCCCAACTAAGTAGTCTGCATCTAAAAACATGGATCAGACTAGAAGTTAGTGACTTCAAACACTGATGCCACGTTTTGGTTTGGCTGCCCCTAACTCTTTTCCAACTATCTCCTACACTAGTCAGTATAGCGCGTCATGGTAATCGGTGTTCAGGCATACGTAACACGTGGCCCAACCATCTCAGATTCATGACCTCATCAACTGATCTACCATCATTCCCTAGTACCCTGCATCTAACCTCACAATTAC